AGAACCAACAAGCAGAAAATCCAAAAAAAAAAATTAACAAATTTGAAGCTTAGAATTAAGGGATTGGAATGCAAAAAATAAAAAAATAAAAAAAATTAAAAAAAAATTGTTCTTCTTAATCTGTATATATGTTCAATATAATATATATATATATATATATATATATATATATATTTATACATCAGATAAACATGATATGACAGTTCTCTAATAATAACCGTATATATACATAAGATGAACAACATAAAACAACACTAAAAAATCAGATAACATGATATGTCAGTTCTCTAATAATAACCTTATATATACATAGGATAAACAACGTATAAACAACAATAAAAATGGATAAACATATTACACAGTTGACAGTTATCTAATAATAACCATATATATATATATATATATACACACAAAATAAACAACATATAAAAAACACTAAAACGAGATAAAATATATAATACACAATTCTGAATGATTGCGAAATCTAAATCGAATGTAGTTATACATAAGATAAACAACATATGTCTACTTTACATGACATTTACAATTCAACCAACAACTTTGCGTACTCTAAAAAAAAACACATTATAGATTATGTATAACTAACGTATAATTTGTGTATATGTTTACTAAACTCCTTTGTGGCGTCGTGCACAAAATCGGAAACTACGCTTTTCCTCCTTCGTCATCTGCACCGGCATGCCCAATCGGTCTGCGGGCTTCACCGAGCATTTTGTCTTCCTACGGTCTTCAGGATCCTCCCTTCAGGCCGGCACCTGGCGAGGTCGGCATCCTCTTATGAGAGGGTTGGGTGCCGACCTCGGGGGTGGCATTATGCAGCAGCGGCAATTACTTTATTCTCGAAATCCGCTCGGCACTTGCACATTCGACCGGGTTCCCAGTCCGGCTTTTAGAATTGTCCATCCGGTATCTTGTCGGCTAACTAAGATGTCAACAAACATATTTCAACTTTATATGACATTTATAAAGTTCAATCAATAACTTTGTTCACTTCAAAAAACAATACATATTGTGTATAGATATACTGTATATATACGTAAGATAAACAACATGTAAAATTCATGTAAATTAACAGTATAGTATACATAAGATAAACAACATGTAAACAAACAATTATGAAACGCATAGTTGTACATAAGATAAACATATAAACAAACAATTATGAAACAGATAAAACATAATAAACAATTTTCAATGACTACAAAAATCCAAATAAAATTTAGTTATACATAAGATAAACAACATATAAACAACTCTGAAATTGTGTATATATACTCTGAAATTGTGTATATATATACACAATTTCAGAGTTGTTTATATGTTGTTTATCTTATGTATAAGATGAACAATATATAAACTTTTCTCAAAATACATTATATTTATAACATGACGACAAAAATTGAACATGTTTATATATACATACTATAAACAACATATAAACACTATTGAAATTCAATATACTTATAAAACATGATACCAACACAAACCAATTTAGTCAATACATCATTTAGCAAAAAATCAAACAAAAACGCCCCTGACAAATCACTCCACAGGCGCAAAAACATTCCCAAAAATCCAAAGAAGACAATTTCTACAATTAACAAACAAATATGAATTATAATTTGATTCACAAATTATTAACCTTATAAGACAATTTAATCCAAACAAGACAATTTCCTTCTCTGTCATCTGTACCGGCATGTCGAACTGCTCGCGCGCGACTCATCCTCGGTGGTCTTCCGATTAGGTTTTTTGGACGACCTTACGCTCGGGTGCTTGAAATTGAGATGTTTGACGACATCGGGAGCGAGTTAATCTTGTTTCTTCTTCACTGTGGCCGGATTTGGCTTCACTTCTCTTCGCTTGGCCATTGAAGATTTCGGATGAGAATCGATTTGTGTGGTAGGGAAGATTACTTTTTTGGTTTTTTTGTGAAGAAGATACATATCAAACGATGATATGGAGAGAGAGATGGAGAGAGAGGGAGAGAAAAAAGCAAGAGAATCTTCTTTTTTACAATTGTGTGTGGAAGAAAAATTATATGGAGAGAGAAGCATGAAATAAAACTGTCATTAATTGTGTGTATTAGTGGGTAGTTATAACCCTCCCCAAAATCTGATGAAAATCCGTCTTGTATTTACAACTTCTTTTAATTAATTGGTAATTTCGTATTTGTGATATAAAGTTTGTTATTTCGCATTTTTAATATTATTTAAGAAATCATTAGTAATGGGTGTAATTTTCTCAAATATCTTACACCCACAAAAGAGCAGGCCTAAGCGGGCTAGCTGAACGGGCCGGTTTATAGAAAACCCATCACTTAAAAAGGCCGAACTTAAGGAGAAGAACCATAATCTTGAACTCCATTCTCATCTCTCTCACCAGCCATACCACACCACAGCGGAGCAGCCAGCGCCGGCCACCACTCCCAAGGGTTTAAGCCCTCATCAAGCTACAGAACAAGGTCTTCTTCTCCAATTCAAGGCTTCCAGCTTCATCACCAATTAACTGAGGCTAAATACCATCTGTTTTCGTTACACTAAGTAGAAAGGTCATTAAATTTTCCTTACAGGTAGTCGGACAGGAAAATGGTTTTTGGTCAGGTGGTTATAGGACCACCGGGCTCCGGCAAGACCACCTACTGCAATGGCATGTCTCAGTTTCTCCAGCTCGTTGGCCGGTATACTCACTCAACCTTATTTGTACCCATTTAGTCTCTATCTTTATATTTATGACAACTCATGGTAGGATAATGAAATTTACGTTGATTAGTGTAATTTGAGTGCGAGTTTCTTATGAGTTTCTTGTTATGCAAAGGCCATAAAATGCCCTTGTTATGTCTCCTTGTTAAGAGTTAGGCTTAATTCAGTTTTTACTTTTTAGTTTTTCATCCCTTTTCTTTGAGTTCTTATAGTGCACAATATCTTTGGTTTCGAATGGGTTGCAGGAAGGTTGCAGTGATTAATTTGGATCCAGCAAATGATTCTTTGCCGTATCCATTTCAGTTCGTTCTGTTCTTTGGTTTTGACGGTGTATAAGTGTGCCATTGGTTTTGTATGTAATTGTGCTCGGAAGTTTGTTTTTGTTTTTTTTTGGGGGCTTTTAAATGAGTTATTTCCTTATAATGATAAAGATATGATTGTGCTATAAACATCGAGGATTTAGTCAAGCTCTCTGGCGTCATGGGCGAACATTCCCTTGGTCCTAATGGAGGTATAACCAATTTGTCAATGATAAACGAAAAAGTCCTCACAGTTGAAATTATTGGCCTTTTTGTTGCACTTCTTTGTTGTTGTTATTATTATTTTCAAAGTTTTTTATCCATATGATGTGTGTATGCATGTATGTATATGTGTTGGCTTTGCATAAACACAAACTGGAGGCAACAAATAACATTATTCATCCATTCTAAAATCTTCAAATGAATTTCTGGATGTAGTTAATATTGAATAATGTATTATGACATTTCCATTGATAGTTCAAATTTTTAAGTCATTCCTGAACCTGATGGCAGAACTCTTTAATATATGAAAAACATTCTGTCTTTCAGGTCTCATTTATTGTATGGACTATTTGGAGAAAAACATCGATTGGTTAGAAGCCAAACTGAAACCTCTACTCAAAGGTTCCTACTGTCTTTCTCATGTAATCTTTCTCATGCTTGCTTCTACCTAATAAATTCTTACGTCATCTTTCTTTTTGTCTATTGTGATTGTACATAATTATTTCCTTGATATTTCGAAATAGAATAAGGTATTTGTAGGCTCCTTCATATTTTTAACCTTGTTATGCTACTAGTTATTCTTCGATCAGAAAAGTGAAAGCAACAGTAATGGTGTGGTCACTTGATGATTTCACATGTTTGTTGCAGTTTTTTTTTTTTTTTTT